CATCCAACATCTAACAGAGACACAGAACGAAATACCACTAACAAACTCTCAAATCCTCAGTTTTCATGAGGAAAGGGAAATGGAAGAGATCGAAGATCTACCTGATTTTCCATAGTGGAATGAATCTGAAACTACTCATTAATTTTATGCTGAATTCATACCACTCAATGAGTTGGTTAACAGCCCCAGCCCCAGCACCACCACCCCCACACATACACACAGTCTTGGAATTGTACCTTCACAAACTTTTGAGGGACTAACACTCTAAAAGATATGTAAGGAGTGTATTTTGAAGTGCTTGTCACTAAAGAAAGTGTAAGATTAGGCTGGATATGTAATAACAATTAAAGCAGAAAGCATGGGCATATGTCTCCCCATGGGAAAATTATGATCAGTCTTCCCATGGGAAAATTATGATCATTTTAGAAATGATTTTTCAATTATGCAATATTTATAAAATGAACAAAATAAAATGTAATCTTCATGGAGGAAAAGGAAACATATTCTCTTCTGCATAACCTCAATTATGTCATGAGACTAAGAAGAAAATATTTTAGTATGTTACCTATTACCTTAAAAATTGACACAATCGGAGTGAGTGAGACGACCTGGGGCCCTCCGGATCCTGAACAGACCCAGAGTGCAGGCCCCGCGAGTGAGCTAGATGACTGAGGCCAGGATCCTGAACAGACCCAGAGCACAGGCCTGGAGAGTGAGTGAGACGACCGGGGCCTCGGGAACCTGAACAGACCCAGGCTGCAGGCCCAGCAGGGAACCCTTCAGCAGAACTCCCTGCAAAGAGGCTAGAGGCAAGACCCACCCAGCTGATTCAGAAGCAGAACAACTTCCCAGAGAGACACAAAGTGTTCAACTCTAACGGCTGCAGCAGAAAGAAGTGGAGCACAGCAGCCAGATCCAAGCAACAGCCACCTGGAAGAATATGAACTTCGTAGATCCGGACCTGGTGCTAAGATAATAACTCTATCTAAGCTCTACACCAAAGGTCAGAA